CAGCTTCCTCAGAGGCCTCAACAGCGAGCTCCACTGAGGAAAACAGGCGGCCTGTTTGAATAAGATGTTGTGGGAGGTGACTCACGATTCCAACGGTGTAGTGAGGAGATAGACTGTTTCCTCTAGTTGGACCCCTGCCACCTCTACACTCTCAATTACAGCATTCGGCTGGGCCGCTTCTGGCTGGCCGCGAAAAAGCGGCCTCCACCAGATGGGCTGAGAGCAACAACCATGCAGTGGTAAACCAGATGCAGATCACCTACACTTCCTCTGGCTTCTCATGCTGCAGCAAACACAGTCTAGTCAAAATAATAGCGTAAGTTTCTGCTTGAGTTCTCAGACGACGTGGAAATATGCTCACATCAGATGGAGACCAAAACAGAAAGACAAAAAATAATTCTTCTCATTAACAGGAAACATTCTTATGTCGGAAAACAATGTGGTCAGCCTCCATAGAGGGCAGTCATTCCTGTTTAAGCAATATTGTGTTTCTGCTAAGGATTAGGCTGCATGTAATTTGCCATACCGATATGCAAACTAACGGTTCATAATGACAGAATGACAGTTCAATAAACAAAGGATTAATTTAGTATTAAGTTTGGATATTTTGGATATTTTTACCCACCAAAGAAAATTGCATGGCAATTCACTGATGATTTTGTAGCAGTAGAGTTAAAAACATTTTTGCTTATTTTTTTTCTTGCTTTGACCAATCATAAATATGATATCCCAACTTGTAAATACAAACTTCCGAAGAGGGCTTGAATGCACCGTTTGCAGCTTCTTGTGTATGACATAGCTTTCTAAAAACAGTACTTTGCATTTTTAAATGCAAAAATGCATTTTATGTGAGTGGCCCATAAAGCTGCTTGACCAATCAAATTACAGGATCAATAGTGATACAATCCACATAATGTGGGACAATGTGCATGTGAGATGAAGACTTTCAGTGCTGCTCAACTACATGAGCTCATCATGCGTTCAGCGTGTCTGTTATTGTTTCCATTTGTGCTAGCTTACTGTAAGTATCCCAGAGATCATTTCATTACTCATTTTGTGGTTTTCACTGATCCGTCCGTCTTGAAGAGGGAATGTAAAAAATATGTTAAAGGTCTCACAGTTCATGTTCAGGTGCATTTTACATTGTTTGACGTCTCTTACGATGAGCTCTGGCTGCTAAAGGTGGAAAATTATTCTCTAGCTAAATCACTGCTCCTGACACTTCATTGTCTTTTATTACCCTTAATGTATGATAACCCCATCTTCTCAAAAGAATAGCAAAAAGAAACGGTTGTGTATGTTGATGGTTTACAGGAACTGAGATGGCCCAAAGGCAAAAGACTTAGTCATGATGATGAGCCAATGTTCTGTTCTTAGGGTTTCAGAGGTTCTGAATACATTTCCATGAAAATTTGAAGACAATACCAGTAACTGACTGGACAACAAAAGTGATTTCATATGAATTTCTGTGTAGCATTCTACACACAGACATTTTAGTAAGAGGTGTATTTATATGAGGTGTTCAGAAAAAAGGAGTCACTTCTTGTCCAAGTAGTTTTTGTTTGACTGATTGGTCATGATTTAAAATAAAATACAGCCTAAAATAAAATGTCTGTTCAAAAGTTTAAATTAAACAAACTTGAATTTTATTGAGCAAGGATGCATTAAATTAATCAGAAATGGCAGTTCACACTATTACAATATTACAAAAGATTACTATTTCAAATAAATGCTTTTGAACTTTCTATTCATCAAATAATCATGAAAAGAATGTATCAAGTTTTTTACAAAAATATTAAGCAAGACAACCATTTTCAACGTTGATAATAGTAATAAATGTTTCTTGAGCAGCAAATCAGCATATTAGGATGATTTCTGAAGGATCATGTGACTGAAGTAATGACTACTGAAAATTCAGCTTGCATCACAGGAATAAATTACATCTCAACATTTATTAAAATAGAAAACTGTTGTTTTAAATTGTAATATCATATTTTACAATATTACTGTTTCAGCTTTATTTACGATCAAATAAATGCAGCCTTGCTGAGCATACTGACTCCAAACTTTTGAATGGTGTACTGCATTTTTTCAGGTATGCTTTTGAGCTAGTATTATAACTAAATTCTTTGTGATTCATAGGACAGCTGCAGCTGCGTTAGCTACAGTGGCATAATTATATATAGTTACAACAGAGACTGTGTACTTATAGAGGGATGGTCCAGCTGCAGTCAGGCCTGTATGAGTGTAACCAATCAAACTGAAGAAGACATGAAGAAGACTTTAAACATGATCATAGGTATTCATGTATTTATTTTTAAATAAATGTGTTTTAGTCTTCTGTGTGTGAAGTGAATTCCACCTGGAAGAATAGTAAAAAACAACAACTTTATTTTAGTTTTTATTTTAGTATGAAAGCAAAATGTTGTAATGGTGAAAATTAGTTGTATGATTGTATTATTGTTATTATATAAATAATTTACTCCATACATTATTAGAGTAGGTGGGGAGGTGTATGTTTCTTGTACAACCAGTCTGTAGTTTGGTCTTGGTTTCATTTCTTATAAGTATTTAACAGATTATTTTACTCTAGTGTAGTCTGTTTTATCAATACAAGCTGAAGCTGCAAGCATGTCTTTCCAAGGCTTTGCCAACAGGAGCAAAAAACGGTGAAAATTCTTTCAGTAAGTGTCTCTAAGCTTTGTTTTCAGGTTATTATGTGATTTAAGTCTTTAATGTGCTAATTTTCTTTTCTTTCTTTACAAGTTTGTAGTTCGATTGGACCTGTTTCTTCTTTTGTTGGAAATGGTGCCACAGGTGAGTAATGTACTAAACTAGTGCAAAAACTGCAAATAGAAATATAAGAAGTAGCCAACAAAAGGACTAATCAAGAAGCAAATAAAGCATATGTGTTACACTAAGGATGTTTTCTCCCTATTATGTCCACACATGCAAGATAGTGCATAGTTGAAATCCTGCTTAAATCCTGCTAAAAAACAAATTAAAATGCACTCTGTTGAAACATTGGTTTTGAAGTATTGGCAGAGTACCGTGGCACAGTGATGGTATCATATAAAAATGTATATCTATACTTATCAGGAAAATTTAAACACAACTCACCACTATGGTGGTAAATGGACATAAACATACTCTCCAAAAAGTTACTGAAGCAAATGTAACATAGTAAATGTAGAGCATTACTACCCACTTCTGGGAGGTGGGAAGTGGCTCTGTATTTGCTCTATAAGCGCAGAAGTCCCTTTGTGAATAGAAAGTACTCTGGAATGTAAAAAAAAAAATACATTGTTAAATATTGTCTTATCAATTTAGGTGCCTGTTTTGTTTATGTTCATGTTTTCATATCTTTTAATTCATTGATTCATTGTCTTGTTGCCTTATTTTCATTTTCACCTTTTCACTGGTTGTTATAGTCATGTGTTTCCCCGTGTCCATGTATTTAAGCCCTCACGTTTGTCATGTTTGTTGCGCCATGTTTATGTTCAGGTTTTTGTTCATGTTATTCATGTACATGTTATGTTCAAGTCAAGTCATCATCATGTTTTAGCTTTGTATTTGTTTAACTGCATATACAATTATATATAATATATAATATTATATGTAATTATGCCACTGTAGCTAATGCAGCTGCAGCTGCAGCTGTCCTATGAATCACAATGAATTTAGTTATAAAACCAGCTCAGAAGCATATCTGAAAAAAAATGCAGTGCACCATTCAAAATAAACTGCACTTGGTGTTGCATAGACACGCCCCTTACTGCTGATTGGCAGCAAGTTTGTTTGGTACTAGGCTCGACTCAGTTTTCTAAAACGTTTTTGAAAAAATACATACCCCACCTTTAAGTCAACTAAATAAGACATAGAGTAAGAAATATTGAACATTATTCAGATTTTAGCATATTTAAGTGAAATATATTAAGTAAATCCATCAGTATTTTACAGACATGTTTATTTTTCCTCCCCAAGCTGCTTGTTACAGTATGTTGCTTTTTCTTCTTTTGGTAAGCCATATCATCATCCTTATAATTTATTATTTGGAATTATCATCAGTTTGGTTTCAGTTGAAGTTAAGTTGGCTGCTCTGTGTCTTTGTCTAAATTGACTTTCAGTTAAAGGAGGAGCATGTGCAGCTTTGGGTATGTCATGAATATTTTTCAATCCATTAATCTGAGCAACCTCGAGCATTGTTTCTTTGTTGGAATGTTAGGTGACACTGCAAAAGATGCAACATCCTTTATCCTTAACTCAGCCACTAGCTGCAACTCCACATCCAGTGGTCAGAAGTGATTCGACGGGAAACCAGTGTTGGAGATTCAGCAGCATTTACATGTTCATGCTATAAAAGCATGCTAAGTGAAAATGCATTGATCTCTTTTGCCACCGTCTGTGATAAGAACCTCAATAAAGACTTATTCAACTAGACGTAATGTATTTTAGATTGTCTTGCATTTTATGAACATTAAACTGAAGACAAATAATCTATTATTTTAGTTGAACCATGTACCATCATTGACAAAATCATAAATAAGAGAAGCAAAGAACAGCAGAAAATGCCCTAATGATGACATACATGATACACTCTTAAAAATAAAGGTTCTTTACTGGCGTCAATGGTTCCACAAAGAACCTTGGAACCTTTGCATTCCACAAAAGGTTCTTTAGATTATCAAAATGTTCTTCACACTAAGAAAAACTGGTTCTTTTAAGAACTGAAAGGTTCTTTGGGGAACCAGAACTGGTTCTTCTAATGGCATCACTGTGAAAACCCCCTTTTGGAACTTTTTTTTTTTAAAGAGCGCACATGCACAAAGATCAACAAGAGCGCAAACTGACATTGAGAGAGTAATAGTTTAATAATAAATATTAATAAATATCTCTCCAGCTTTTGAATAACTTAACCACTGTGTGGCAGCAATATCACATAAAACCTTTCAACAATCCGTTCCCTTTCTGTCAGTCCATTGAATTAAAAAGATTGTATAAAAAAAAGTTTGAGACAGAAACATGAATAGCCTAAACAAAATAGTGTCCATAACTTCAAGCCAGGACATTCAAATTTTATTGAAAATTGTACTTGGAAACGCATTCAAATCAAGTTTTTATATAGGCTAATGTAACCTATCCGTAATGTGAATTCCGTGTGTAATAGTTTTAAAGGAATAAAACGGGTCTGTCAGAAGCTCGTGAGTAGTGTTGTACAATGCAACTGTAAGCTCTTAATTGCACAAGTCGCTGGCCAGGGGAAGGTACAGATGTGCATCTGTGTTTTGGATCAGTGCCGGGGATCTGACAGTGAGATCTGGCAGTAATGAAGGCCTGCAGCATCTGGCCAGCTGTGAATGGCTGAATGGTTAAGATGTGAGGTGTGTCCTCTCCCGCGGGACCTGTGAGACTGACGCCGGATTGGATGAGCTGCTGGAGGAGGGCTGGGCCTATGGAAGGCCTGACCTGAGCCGGAGGAGAGCCGAAGAACGAGACAAAGGAGGGGGGTGGTTACTCTCGTTCCCACCACACCCTGCCAAACCGAGTCCCCACAAACACAATGTTTCATTGAAGACTTTGAGTGTGTGTTTTACAGTGGAAGAGACTCACATCTACAAAATGTTGTACAGTTAAGGCAGTAAGCAGTATAAAAACACATCTTAAACTAGTTTAAGTTTAAGGTTTTGTATTGCTGGCAAGGCTGCCTGGGAGACCATATTAAACCAGTTTAGGATGGTTTAAGCTGTTTTTTTCCCGGCAGTGATTTAATCAGAATTTCAGTATTTCATGCTATAAACAAATAAGATCTTGTACTTTTAATTGACTTTAATAGAGTTCACTGGAACATGTTAGACAATCAGCTTTTTCACTCACTATTCCAGCATTTTCTGCTCTTAAGACTCCAACATCCACCCTTCTGTCTGAAGTGTGAGGGGAATTTTGAGCTTGAATATTTGAGCTCTGTCACAGACAAGCAAGTAACATGTAGCTACCTTTTCTATGTTAAGAGACACAACAAAATATGATATATTCATGCAGACATAGGTTTGAAAATGTTTTGTCTCAATATAAGACTCATCCTTCATAATCAATTATGGAAATAATTATAAAACACAAACTAATGCCAGTCTCTTTCATGTGACTACATTGATACAGTAATTATATTATAAGCAAATTACAATGCAGTTCTGTTTGAGGGGCACAGTCAAATTAAAATTAACAATGCAAAGTGGGCATTACAATCTATATAAATCTCCATTTTCTGACATTCCCTTCCCTCTTAAATGTTTACTTTTCAGAGACACCTGCATGTCATTAACGTACATAAATTAACAGTTATTTAGTAAGCTGCCTATTGAAGTGGGTGGCTTTCAGTCGGCTTTGTTTTGTCATGCATTCAGATTGATTCCTAAATGCTTAATTCCTAAATAGCTGTCATAATAAATTTAAAAAGTCAATATTTATGACGTGTCAAAATAGAAATGAAATCACAAAGACATCATTCTAATAGTCAGCTAAACAGCTCTTGTCACTTAACTAACATCAAAAATCTACATTAAAACATGGGTTAAAGATTTCTTACAGTGCATAAAGTGGACAATCAAATGAGTTTGTGGTTCTGCATTGTTGTTTTGAATCTTTTTGATTGAATCTTTTTTCCATTGCCATTTCACATTTCATTGGATTATGTATTTACATCCTGAAGACAACAAAATGTATATGTGCAATTTGGAGATAATAATGCTGTGAAATATCTGTAATGCACATTAGCTGTATGTTAATGATAAATATACATTTCTAACCAACAATTATTTCACTGAAGTACAGTAACATTTTCCAGTCAGACATCACCCCCAGAACAAATGCTCATCCTCCATCCTGGTTTAGTCAGTCTTGGAGACGGCCAGGTGCACATTCACTGGGGAGCGTTGAGTCAGGACATTATCCCGGGGTGGGATACCATCTCGGATGAAGAACAAACAGAGCAGAAGAAGGAATAAGCATAAAATATTCTTGCACCTGGACATCTAGGACCTCCTGTCTCCATTTTTAGTCTTGAGAACTACTAGGACCACCATAACAGGGATTAGGCATATGGGGGTCATGACCAGGGCAAGGATGATGCTGGGAGGGGGGTCTCTCAGTGCCTCTGAGGGACATTCTTGAAAATAGGTGGTGTGGATTTTCACAAATGTATGTTCAACCAACTGATTCGGCCAGGGAAGCAGCAGACAGTCAGCAACAGTCTCAGTACACACAGTGAAATTGTTGTATGCACTGCCAGAGAAACAGATGGAGAAAGAGAGTCATCAACTGCTATCAAACACATCTAGTATTATATGGCATTTGAAAATGAATCCTTAGAATGTACCTTTTTACTTTTTCCAACGAACACCAGTCGGTACTGTTCATGAACCCCATAGCAGCATCAAAATTATATTGACACAATTGCACCAGAAAACCATAGCATTGAGTTCTCAAGAAATTGTTCTCACAAAATGAACAGTATGTGTCACAGATGCTCTTGTTACCACAGCCTATGATGTAAACAAAATGAAATAAATAATGAACTTTGATGTAAGTTGATGTGAATCATCCTGTCATGCATAATGGAATTTTCTGTTTATCTTAAGAGTCACAGTCAAGCTGATGCCTACAGTAATTATCTTAGTTCATTAACATAAACTTTCTTATGATAGCAAATGTACATACCAAATGTTCCTCCATCTCCATAGCCAGGATCTGAAAAATATAATTGTAAATTTATTGTAAATAAATACAAACATAAACATATACACACATCTGTAAATATAATTAGGCAAAATGTGCACATGATGTGTCCAAACATGTTGCAATGAAATGCAACCCTCTGCCTTTAGTTATTAAAAATAATAACAAACATAACTTGCTTCAGTAAAAAAATAAAATAAAATAAAAAAAGGACAAAAAACGACGCATTCATCCTATTAGATCGTTTGTGACCATATTGGTCATCTGCATCCTTCAAAGCATTTGTCATGCACTGTATACAGTGTCTATTTCAGGTTAAATTAGAGCTGAAGTTTTCTATCGACGCACACACACACACACACAACTTACCACAGATAACAGACAGAAAGACGCATAAGAAGCTGAACGATACCCTCATATCAGAGCAAACGAGCGCTGGCGAGCTGGTCTCAACCCGCCGCTGAATGTGTCTGAACGTTTACACAGAAGAACGCGAGGCATAACAGGAAACGCGACGGGTGGAAGCGTGATGGGCCGTCACCACATGTGCAATCACGGTTACCAGATGTTCAGAAAGCTGCTGACCGAGAACGCTTTAATTTTCCCACGTAATAATGCTCCACCTCTGGCCGCCTTTCTCTCTCTCACTCACTCACTCACTCACTCAACGACTCTCTCTCTTTTCCAGTCAGTCTTCAACTGAAAAAATACAAAAAAATAGACCGTTCAGTGACTTAAATATTAAAATATAAAACAAACACGTTTAAAAAGTCTATTCAGCGATAACTGTGCTAATTTATGAATTTGTTTACTTTAAATACCATTAGTTATAAAACTCATGTTTATCTTTAACTCTACAACCTAAGTTTACTTATGTCTTACAGTAAGCCTTAGTCACACTACTACATCGTAACGTAGCTCTTGGTTAATTTAGAGTTGATGAAAGTAGCCTATCAACTTGCGTTCCGACTGATTCATAAGTGTTTCTGATAAAGAACCACTTCATACCAGTTCGGGAATAGAGACCACATGGGTCGTGCTGTGTGGTTTTGATTCACTTATACAAACCGATTAAGAGTCATTCGTTCTTCCAGCTCACTTGTAGCACGCTATATTTTTTCAACGTACAATTTGATTAATTTAAAATAACCAATTCATAAGAATCATTCATTCGGAAATCGGATCTGTTAGTGTAAGTTTGCACTATCGATTTACACGACAACAATGTAGCCTGCTAAAAGCAGAAAAGTTTACCTTTACATTTTTTAAAGGTTTCGCATACAGACAACAACATTGTCAAACTTATCAATGAAAATAACTAAAACACTGCATTAATCATGCCAGGCCAATAGTTGGTGATGTAATTTTGTACAGAAACATCAAAGAAGCACATAGTCTACCTAGTAAACATGTAATATGCATGCATATGGCCATTTTCAGAAATTTTGCAGTTTACACAGAGATGACAATGGCATTGTTTTCAAAAACTTTTTTTTCTTTTTTCTTTTTCAAATGTTTGCAATTTCATGCCCCCAAAGGGGGTCATGTAGGCCCTCTTTACAGGTTGTGTAAGCACCCCCTTGGAACGCAAATGTACTGTGATGTAATGTACATGCATATAGCGTGTTCAGGCTGTATGCATGTGTGAGTACTTGAAAACCATAATACAGAATTTTTAGTCGTTTTCATTTGAACGGGGGTCATTTTGACATTTGTCATCTATATGCAAAACTTTTAAAAAATGCAAAGGAAAAACGTATCTGTTTTTAGTACATTGTTGTCGTGTAAACATACCCTTAGTAGTGGTGTTGTGATGAGTAGTAGTGGAAATGTCAGATTATTTTTGTAGTACAAAGAATGCATGTTCGAGAAAAGTTTCACAAGCTTCACAAAAGTCCTTTGGTATTTTTGTATGAATGGAACTGTTTCTGCATAAGAACCAGTTCTCAGTTCCAGTCCTGACTCTTGAAATGGTAAAGCACTGTTGTGTTTAAAGATTGCTGTTTCCCTGAGGCGAGGATCATTTCTGGGCTGAGCACACCCAGGCCAGATGCACATCTGCAAATGGGTCTTCCCCTTTAGAAAACACTCCATTTCTCTCAGGTTGATTCCTCGTCGGCTCAGTGGTTCTGATTTATTTGCGTTTTTCACATCTGTTTCCAAACAGGAAACATAAGTGAACATTTAGGGGCAGAGCAGGGCGGCTTGATGGAACGGACACTTTTAAGAATAACTGGGTCATATTAAACAGATCGAGTTCGGGAAACGATATAATCAGAGTTTGCCATCTATGCTCGAAGGGCTGCACTTTTGGTTTGAGCTCAGCTGTGATTGAAACAAACTCTCAGCTCACTCACTTCAAAGGAAGAGAAAGAAGTGAATCCAGGGCCGAGGAAGGGCTGGAACAGTTTATGTAACACTTTTGGGCTTGTGGATCTCAGGTTGACCATGTGAGACTGTCTTTAGCCAGTACCAATGGATTAATTCTATACAAAAAAGCATTTAGTGTAGTATTCATGTTTTAAAAGTTTTTGATTTTACTTTTTTCCCCTTCAAATATATATATACAGGTGCATCTCAATAAATTAGAATGTCGTGGAAAAGTTCATTAATTCAGTAATTCAACTCAAATTGTGAAACTCATGTATTAAATAAATTCAATGCACACAGACTGAAGTAGTTTAAGTCTTTGGTTCTTTTAATTGTGATGATTTTGGCTCACATTTAACAAAAACCCACCAATTCACTATCTCAACAAATTAGAATACTTCATAAGAAAGTAGGGGCTCCTTTTGCTTTAATTACTGCCTCAATTCAGCGTGGCATGGAGGTGATCAGTTTGTGGCCCTGCTGAGGTGGTATGGAAGCCCAGGTTTCTTTGACAGTGGCCTTCAGCTCATCTGCATTTTTTGGTCTCTTGTTTCTCATTTTCCTCTTGACAATACCCTATAGATTCTCTATGGGGTTCGGGTCTGGTGAGTTTGCTGGCCAGTCAAGTACACCAACACCATGGTCATTTAACCAACTTTTGGTGCTTTTGGCAGTGTGGGCAGGTGCCAAATCCTGCTGGAAAATGAAATCAGCATCTTCAAAAAGCTGGTCAGCAGAAGGAAGCATGAAGTGCTCCAAAATTTCTTGGTAAACAGGTGCAGTGACGTTGCTTTCTAAAAACACAATGGACCAACACCAGCAGAAGCTATTGCACCCCAAATCATCACATACTGTGGAAACTTAACACTGGACTTCAAGCAACTTGGGCTATGAGCTTCTCCACCCTTCCTCCAGACTCTAGGACCTTGGTTTCCAAATGAAATACAAAACGCGCTCTCATCTGAAAAGAGGACTTTGGACCACTGGGCAACAGTCCAGTTCTTCTTCTCCTTAGCCCAGGTAAGACGCCTCTGACATTGTCTGTGGTTCAGGAGTGGCTAAACAAGAGGAATACGACAACTGTAGCCAAATTCCGTGACACGTCTGTGTGTGGTGGCTCTTGATGCCTTGACCCCAGCCTCAGTCCATTCCTTGTGAAGTTCACTAAAATTCTTGAATCGATTTTGCTTGACAATCCTCATAAGGCTGCGGTTCTCTCGGTTGGTTGTGCATCTTTGTCTTCCACACTTTTTCCTTCCACTCAACTTTCTGTTAACATGCTTGGATACAGCACTCTGTGAACAGCCAGCTTCTTTGGCAATGAATGTTTGTGGCTTACCCTCCTTGTGAAGGGTGTCAATGATCGTCTTCTGGACAACTGTCAGATCAGCAGTCTTCCCCATGATTGTGTAGCCTAGTGAACCAAACTGAGAGACCATTTTGAAGGCTCAGGAAACCTTTGCAGGTGTTTTGAGTTGATTAGCTGATTGGCATGTCACCATATTCTAATTTGTTGAGATAGTGAATTGGTGGGTTTTTGTTAAATGTGAGCCAAAATCATCACAATTAAAAGAACCAAAGACTTAAACTACTTCAGTCTGTGTGCATTGAATTTATTTAATACACAAGTTTCACAATTTGAGTTGAATTACTGAAATAAATGAACTTTTCCACGACATTCTAATTTATTGAGATGCACCTGTATATATATTTTTTGTTTGTTTGTTTTTTGTTTTTTGTTTTTTGTTAATCTCAATATGTAAAGATGAGTTTCAGAACTCAAAACATCCTATAGCCTAATAGACCTCAGTCAGGTTAGGTTATTTCGCACTGGAGGAACCTTTCCATAGTTCCTAGAACTATTGGCGGATGTTTACGCTTTTTGGTGTGTTCGCACATGATGTGTTCGCATATGAAACATACAGCGCCTTGCGAAAGTATTCATACCCCTTCATTTTTTTTACATTTTGTTATGTTGCTGCCTTATGATAAACTTCTTCAAATTACTTTTTTCCACATCAATCTACACTCCATACACCATACTGACAAAGCAAAAACAGAATTGTCACAACTTCGTAAATTTATTAAAAATAAAAAACTGAAATAAGTACATTGCATAAGTATTCATACACATAACTAAATATTTAGCTGAAGCACCTTAACAGCCTCAAGTCTTTTTTTTTTGATGCGACAAGCTTTGCTCATCAGCATTTTGCAATCATTTGCCGTTCTTCTCCTCATCTCTTCACCTCTCAAGCTCTGTCAGGTTGGATGGGGGCAGATGCACATTTTCAGGTTTCTCCAGAATTATTTGATTGGGTTTAATCCCAGGCTGTGGCTGGGCCACTCAAGGACATTCACACAGTTGTCTATAAGTCACTCTTGCTGTGTGCTTAGGTTCATTGTCCTGTTGGAAGGTAAACCTTCTGCCCAGTCTGAGGTTCTGAATGCTCTGAACTGGGTTTTCATTAAGGCTAAGTTGAGTCCCTCAGTCCCTGCCGCTGAAAAACAGCCCCACAGCATGAGGCTGCTACTAGCACACTTTACTTTTGGGATGCTACTCTGCAGGTGATGAGCAGAGCTGGTTTCCTTCAAACATGATGCTTAGAATTGAGGTTCATCAGACCAGAGAATCTTGTTTCTCAGAGTCTGAAGGTCCTTTAGGTGCTTTTTTGTAAATTCCAAGTGTTTTTTCATGTGTCTTAACTAAAGAGAGGATTGAGTTTGGCCACACCGCCATAAAGACTGGATTGGTGGAGTGTTGCAGCAATGTTTGTCCTTCTGTAGATTTCTCCTATGTAGCGTCTTGACCACTCAAACACACAATATATATTTTGTTAGCTAGATTAAATATATATATATATATATATATATATATGAAATTAAAATATTATAATTTATAAAATAATTTATAATTTTGGAAGTGTGGAGAAATAAGGGCTTTCTTTTAATCAGCATTTTTAAGTAGCATGCTATATGTGTTATTAAATTTTAAATATATATTTGAACAATGCAGACTTTGTATCTGTTTTTGGTTCCTAACAACAGGCCAATCTAAATCTCCCCAGTGCCCATGTGTTTATTCAAATCTCAAACTGAAGCAGTTGGTTTATTCTTTGTTCCAGAGACACTCGCATGCATAGAAAAAAAGGGATCGAAAGTGTAAACAAAATCTCTCACCGCAATGTAGAATTGCAACACAATATTCTTTTCTCCAGTTTTTATCAACAACTTTGCAGCAGTAAACTTTCAAAGCGCTGATTGTCTGCTATTCATTGTTAAGCTGCTCAGTAAGCACTCAATTGAATCCATACACTGAAAACAACCTCACAGTAGGGTTTATTTGGACATACAACTTAGAAAAACAAAGAAATTAGCAGACATGTCTATCATATTTACACAGCTGCATTACTCACCTGCTCTGGTGTATGCAGTGGTTTGTACTTCTGTCGGCATGGTTGATGTAGTCTGTCTCTAGAGCACAGAAGAAAAATAAATGATCATGAGATGCGGAGGATATTTTACAAAAACAACCTTTTAGAGCAAACTGAATTAAATTTTAAAGGGATAGTTCACCCAAAAATGAAAATTCTGTCATTAAATACTCACCCTCTTGTTGTTTCAAAGCCGCAAGACCTATGTTCATCTTCAAAACACAAATTAAGATATTTTTGATGAAATCCGAGAGCTTTCTGACCCTGCATAGACAGCAAGGGAACTACCATGATCAAGGCCACTACTAAGGGTATTCACCAGAGGACCACGACTCATACGTGTTCTACGTTAGCAGCACCACAAGCATGCATCGTGGTCCTCTTGTGAATTGCAGTGGAAAGTGAGAGGGAAGAAAAGAAATAGCTGAATAAAGTCTTTTTTTGTTTTGTTTTCTTTGTGCACAAAAAGTATTCTCGTAGTTTCATAACATTACTGTTAAGCCAACGATGTCACATGGACTATTTTACCAATGCCCTTACTATATTTCTGGGCCTTGAACGTGTCAGTTGCGTTGCTGTCTACGCAGGGTCAGAAAGCTCTCGGATTTCATCAAAAATATCTTAGTTTGTGTTCTGAAGATGAAAGAAGGTCTTACAGATTTGGAACGACATGAGGGTGAGTAATTAATGACAGAATTTTCATTTTTGGGTGAACTATCCCTTTAACACAACTCACCACAGTTTGTTTCTGTTCGTTTGGTACCAGGGTCTGCAGTGTTGAGACCATTAGACACAGACAGACTATCATGAAAAAAACAAAAAACATTGGATTACATGAATTACACTAATATTCAGAAATACACTTATTTGTCATTGTAAGACAGCAAATTCCAGCAGTTTGGGGAATATTGACAGGCATGGGAAAAGATGCAGGAAGGGAGTAGATGAAGAGAGAGGCATGGAACATCCTCCCTTTGTCCTGAGCAGTTGGATCATGAAAGTCATTTCCTCAGAAGCTGTCTAATTTATCTGTTTCTACCATATAGTAACTTAAAGCATCATTTTAAAGAAGTCAGCAGCATAATTTACATGACATTCCATTATAATTTCTTTGTGGTCATGAGGGCAATAAAGTTATATTATTTGAAATGATCAATTAACATTAATAGATTATAACAGAATTATTGACATGTGTGTGTGTATACATATATACACACACTACATATTCTTATACATAATTAAACCAGAATTAATATTCTGAATTATCAATTAGAAACATATAAAATTCAGATATAAAATTTTTACAATATTGAAGATAGCTAATAAGAATTTTCTTCTGGAGATTGCCTCTGATTTTAATTTTCAAGCACACTAAACCAAGCTTTTATTCTGGAGGTACAGATACTCACCCCAAAACAGAAGAGTCCCTGCTGGTTTCGAAGTAGATATAGATATGTGCGCCATTACGCATTAATCCTGTGGTGGTTCTATCTGTCTGTCCACCTCAGCTTGCAAAAATCACATGTATGAACTCTTCAACAGGAAGACTCTATTAAAACAACAGGATGTGCTCATTTCCTTAAAGGGGTGGTGGATTCACAAATGGAGAGACATTACAGATGGGGCGGGCGGTCTAATATGTCCCAATGTTGCCATCATCTAAATTTCTCTCTAAATTTCATTCACATTATCTTCACTGTCACTTTCTCTCTATCTCTCTATCTATCTTCTGTCTATTTGTCTGTCATATAAAATATGTGTGTTTGTCACTGTACACTTTAGTTTAACAGCATATTTGTTGTGTACATTCATTTGAGATGTTTTTCCTCTAACACTACTCTCAGTAAGTTTCAGTAGGAGAGTCTGAGTGGATGGACTGGAAACTTTTATTTATTTTTTGAATTAACAAAGCATGAGCCAGATTTTGCTTTTAGTTTGGCTCATTTGTTTATCATGTAGAGTAGAGAATATATATATGATGTGATGTATGATGTTTTGGTGTAAGACCAGCTGGTATTTACTGAGGAAACAGTGTGGAAATGGAGGAATCTGCTATTCAGGATGCTTTCCACATTGTTGTTTACACATATTTCACTTATTAATTACATTATACATTATTTATTATCAATTATGTACAATCCCAATATAGGGTGTGTTCAAAATCCGAAACCTGCATGTTCTTCTGCATGGACAGCCAAATACATGTATAATATAAAATAATTACATTGTAACTAAGGCATTTCTTTAAAATATTAGGCAAGAACTGGCTTCTGTGGTAGGTCTCACAGTGTTTATTATTATAGAGTTGAGTAAGCAACCTCATTTCAAACAGACTGTTTCTTTTAATGTTTCTGGCAGGGATTCTGTTGACCTCATCGGGCCGTACAGGGGGTCTTACCCCAGGTGCTTTGGAGAGTGAACTGTGCTGCAGAGATAAAGCCTGATGACAAATCCATCCCCTGAGCATTGGCTCAGAGGAGTGTCTACCCTCGCTATTGACGTACACAGAGCTACACCACTCTACACTATTGACGCATGTACACTATGACCACCACTGGCATGCACTAAGTTCAGCTCAGGAGTGATGCAAGAGGAGAAAGTATAATTCCCTTAACACTCTCTCACAGCCACAGATGTGTAAGTAAACGTCATCTGGCGATTCCCCCTCTCTCACTCAGCTAGACTTGGTCTGGTGCCTGGTGAAGTTCTGAGGACCCAAATTACTTCCACATTTGATTCACATTAGTAAGGAGAGGCTTGTTTTCCACCCTTAATTGGTTTGCTCTGTTTATAAAGCAGATTAAGTTAGAGGGACAGAAAACATGGGGTTTATTTAGCAGTTTGGGACACTTCAATTCCATAGAATTGGAGTTCAAAATGGCACAATAAGTACAACAATGCATTTTTTTTTTTTACAGTATTTTACAACTGATAAACATCAGAAAAGCTGATTATAATTGGGATCACACAGGGATGACATTGTCACACTGATATTGCGGTTCACTAAAATAAAGTTTAGTAAAGTCAAAAAACATTTTCTTTCCATAGGAACACATGCTGCTTAGGTTTGTGAACAGAAAATGTGCTCAAATTGTCCATGAATGCAATGTAGGTCAGTGGTTTTCAAACTGTGGGTCACAACCTGTAGTCTGATATTTCATGAAACAAGTAACTCTTATAAGTCTTCTTTTAATGAATTCTTCAAAAAGATTCACAATCTCAAGAGTTCAGTCTGAATCCCTTAGACAAAGAATTAAATTACTCAATCCATAAGTGTGGCTACTGAATCTTACTGGACCTCCATGTCATGATGTCAATGAATCTCTCTCTGTTAAAAAATATTTCAGTCTTAAATTAATTTAGTCTTTGTATGTTTGTTGTTATTTTCTTCTGATAAAAGTTTTAAGTGAGACCTACATTTAAAAAAAATAAACGTTCTTTACTGGAATCTATAGAAACTTTCCACTGTACAAATGGTTCTTTATAGTTGGAAAATGTTCTTTAGATTTTTAACATTTTCTTCACACCCAGAAGGAAAATGTTCTTTTAAGAACTGTTTACTGAAAGTTTTTTTTTTTGGTGGAACCCATGGCACCATTGCAAAAATCCCCTTTTGGAACTTTTAGTGTGTTCACTGATGCCATAATATAATAAAAAGTATGTAAAAAAGTATGTAAACGATATTTATTTTGTATTCAAATATCAATCTCAAACAGAAAGCTTGTATACACATTTGCATTTACATCCTTTACATTTAGCACATGCTTTTAGCCAAACTTACTTACAAAAGAGGAACCTCTGTATCTGGAGTTGTTCAACAGCATGTCAAATGTCACAGTCTCTACTATGTTTCATTTCATTCTCTAAACTCGGGGCCTCAGAGCAAAGAGCCCATCCCTCAGTACCCCACACACTGGTTGATACTAATCTTCATTTGACATGCCTAAACCAACATCCAGGGTTTACACTGCACATAATTAAAAACTTTCCACAGATAAGACCTCCCTCTTATGTCTATCTTTCTGCCTGTGTTTGCTTCTGTTGTGAGGTCCAAGATAAACACCGGACTGGCCTAAGAAAACCCTGTTAGGATGGGCCCATTACTGGGATAAGGGTGTGAGGAAAAATTCTGTTACCACTCCATCTATCACATACTGAAGTGCTGAGCAACACCACCTCAATTCTAAAGACAGAAGAAGCTAAAACACCTGCACATGTCCAATCTTTAACCAAGCCTGCATAAGCTACATAAGCATAAGCCAAACACACAATGGCAGTATCAGAAAACAGAAGACAGAAAATCTGCCATCTGATACAGTAAACAAAACATCAGTATCTAACAAACTATTTTTTTTCTTGTTAGTTAAAGGGATTGTACCATAATTTACTCACCCACATGTCGTTCCAAACCTGCACTACTTTCTTCTGTGGATCACAAAAGAAGTTACTCTGAAGAATGTTGGCAACTAAACAGTTTAGGTTACAACTGACTTCCATTGTATGGACAAAAACACTGAGGCGTTCCTCAAAATATCTTCTATGTTCCACAGAATAAAATAAAGTAGGTATAGGTTTGGACTGACATGAAGGTAAATGATGAGTCAATTTTCATTTTTGGTGAACTGGTCTACATCTACTATGTCTTTTATCTTAAAGTATCAAGTATGCAACAAAAAAACTCCCAATGTTTTCCTTTAAGTCATTAATCTGTGAAACCAAACCAAATATTATTTCCATGTTCTTACACAACAACAAAAAGTTTGTTCTTTCACTTGTAGCTTAATGCTATTCAGAGAATGCCAATGAATACTCCGGGACAGTTATGTCAAAAACTAAAATGAAAATCCCTGTGTTGTTCCAAACGTTACTTCCTTGCTTGTGAAACACAAAAAGAGTCGCTATTCCCTTCATTGCATTTAAAAAAATAAATAATAAAATCTAAAACTGAATAGGGTCTGAGATGGTCATTCTGCCTAATATCTTATTCTGTGTGTTTAAAGAAAGAAAGCCAAACAAGTTTAGAGCAACTTGAGTTCTGGCTTTTGGGTGATTTATCTCTTAAAAAAACAGGATTGAGGTATAAATGTCTACATGTCGCCACCTAGTGGATTTATAAATATGAAAACATCTGTCGAAATCAAGCTAAATGAGATATGTATTCTTAAATTATATAGCATTATGTAATTTATTATTATTGCATTTCTAGTTGTAGCATTACTATACCATGCCTATACTATTATTTTTTATTGATTTATTATAAAAATATTTTTAAAATAATAGTGGCAACAGCATTCATTGGTGCTCACATAATAGTAAGAGCCAATTACTGATCTAATCTGTGCCAGGGAGTGGTGAATGTGTAAAGCATTTATTGCTACTCGTACTGTTAATCTGCGTTGCGATCTCTCTCTCTCGCTCTCTCAGAGAGAGAGAGAGAGAGAGAGAGAGAGAGAGAGAGAGAGAGAGAGAGAGAGAGAGAGAGAGAGAGCGCGTTCTCGTTGGTCACGTGTGATTTACAGAGAAGGGCAGTGCCTTCTATCACGCTGCCCTCGCTCGCTCTCTGGAGGAAACCAGCACATGCTAAGCGCTGCGGATCTCAGGGGAGCCGTCCAAAAACAACAAGCATTGGATCCTCAAGCCAAGCCCCTTTGCGCGGAGCCTTCTGTCTCTGCATACATTAACATCCACGTGTACATATACGTATGCTATATGATTAGGGATCTTGCTATAAAGGAACTACTTAAATTGTTTGTCACATGATTTTATGTCATCAGCACTTTATTTTTTATATATTTAACATACTTTTTTATTTTTATTTTATTTTGCATGTGTATTTTTATTTATAATAAACGTTATAAAGCACGCCACTATGGAAATATTCAATATTTATATTATCCGAATATTATCCGTCTATTAGTAATATTATTATTATTATTCAATAATAATAATAATATTACTAATAGACGGATAATCGTTTAATTTAAATAATCGTTTAATTAATCAAAATTTTAAATGTCAGAGCTCATGCACATATTTGCATGCAGGCTATTAATTATTCAGAAAACGAGTTGCATTATTATTTTCCTCCTCTGCGCACTCGTAGCCTGTGGTCCAGCCAAAGAGAGCTGGAGCATGTTCATAATAAAGACGTCACCCTGTGCTTTGACCGTGCCAACCAAGTGCGCAGCTCTTAACTGTACAACTACAATCTCGACATGCGTACGGACGTCCGAGGAATCCTCGCATCCCTAAACACAAGCAGTCTGGCACCGACATCTGCAGCGGCTCGCTAGCCAGGACACCGTTTTTCACTACAGGACGTTTTTGGGCACGCGGACTTCTTTGCTGCGCACTTGAAGCTGAAGCTGATTCGCGAGAGGGTTTAAAGGAAGGAGCAGGGACTCTTAAGGTATTTCAAACTGCGACGGCGATGCCTCCGTATCGTTATTCAGCATGCGCGAGAAAGCTAGAGCATGTGCACGAGACACGTTTAATAAATCGTCTCGGCGTGTATCGTTTGCTTAGTAGTGTC